ATACTCAACCTGAGACTATTCTTGAGGATCTGCAATGGCCTATCTCTTTAAGAAAAGGGGAAAAGAAGTTGTATGTGAAACCCAATTGGCAGGTACGTTTTGTATGAAAAGCTTAATTCCCAATTTAAAGCTTTTGTCACTACTATTGATAATGAGGAGATTCCCAAAACCTTTGAAGAAGCTGTATTGCACCCTAACTGGAATTCTACTATTGAGGAAGAGTTGAGGGCTCTAGCTAAGAATAGAACTTGAGAAATTGCTGACTTGCCTCATGGGAAATTTATTGTAAGAAGTAAGTGGGTGTTTACTAAGAAATACAATCTTGATGGGAGTATATATAAGTATAAAGCAAGATTAGTTGCAGGGGGTTTTACTCAGACCTATGGGATTGATTATCAAAAGACATTTGCGCCTGTTACCAAATTTAATACCATAAACGTGCTTCTTTCTATTGTAGCTAATTTAGACTGGCCCTTGCACCAGTTGGATGTCAAAAATGCGTTCTTAAGTGGAGACTTGGAAGAGTAAGTGTATATGGAGGTACCTCTGGGACTATTGGGTCCAAAGAATGAGAACAAAGTGTGTAGATTGCATAAATATCTATACGGTCTGAAATAATCTCCCAGGGCCTGGTTTGAAAGATTCACATGTGCTATACAAGGGTTTGGCTATAAACAATGCCTTGTTGATCACACACTATTTTTTGAGTATCGAGTTAACAAAGTAATAGTGTTAACAGGCAATGATCCGGAAAAAATCAGGAAGCTCAAAGGACTACTGGCCACTGAATTTGAGGTAAAAGACCTTGGCAGCCTAAGATACTTTCTTGGGTTAGAAATTGCTAGATCACCGAAGAGCATCAATGAATTGTAGGGGAAATACTCTAGATCTACTTGAAGAGATAGAAATGCTTGGAGCCAGGCCTGCAGAAACTCCAATGGAGCTTAATTGCAACTTGGAAGTCACCCCTGATGGAAAGTCTGTAAACAAGGAGAGATACCAGGGATTGGAAGGGAAATCAATCTACTTATCCCACACGAGGCCAGATATATTGATCGCCCTGTCATGTAAGCTCTCAACCTAGGTTGTCTCTCGCTATGAGGAGTTTCTTTAAAATTTTGAAAACTTTTTTAATTAAGAAAAACATGATGTAGAGAAAGAAGTAGAAGGAAAGAAAATTGACTGATTTTTTTAGGAAAATAAATTAAGAAAAATAAAAGGGAACTAATAATAATTAAAAGAAAGCAAAAGGAATAAAGACTTTTTCAGAATGATGTACTTCCCGAGGATGTTGATGGGTGGTTATCACGGTTCAAAAGGATGAGGAGTTTGTATAGAAACAATTACTAAGTCAAAAAAAAAAACCCTATATAACATCTAAGTTGTGATTAATTAATTAATAATTATAGCCAGAGAGTTAGAATATAATCATCTTACAATTAATCATTTAAAAACTGCCTAGCTTGTGAATTCAATTAAACAATTATATCTTGTTCCTTGAAGAGTTATCTATTAAAACCCTAGAGCATGAACTACTTATGCAAATGAAAATAGAAATCTATAAAGATCAACATCATAGAATCATGAAGAAATTGAAAATATATTCATTAAAAGTTTCAAAATATAATTGTTCAACTGAAACCCAAATCAAATATCAGTTTACAAAAGAAATCAAAATCCTAATTTAGAAAATTCATAAAAGCAACGTATTAGTGGATTGGAATATGAAAATTAACAAACTCCCTAATATAAACAGAAACTCAAGTCATGTCATTTTGTCCTCATGAACAAAGAGGACTAGCCACATATGGCTAGATGACACCATAATGATAAAAAGAAAATAATAAAAAGAAGACAGTTAAACAACCAGACACAAGAGGAAGCCAAGTGTATGCTTGTACTTATATAGTGTAGATGGCTTCGTTGCTTCTTCAAGGCTCCTTTGATCTCCTTTTATAGCTCTTCAATCTGTCCTAGTTGGATGAGGAAACCCTTGAGACTTCTAGCTTGATTTTTTATCTTCTTTTATCTTATAATCTTAATGGAACTTTGAACTTGAATGGTCTTAATTTGGTGTGATCTTCATGACAACTAAAGTAAAAGAGCTTTTGAATTTAAATGATATTGAAAAAAAGGATAATATTTCAAACTTAAATAAAGATATGGTGGTAGGATGAACTGGGGTTTTGGGTTTAGAAAGAGGATAAAGATGATAATATAGATATTTGGAAAGTTAAATGGATAATGGATAAATGAATAAAATATTCATTCGAATTTAAAATTCGATAAGGGAATTATCCAGAAGCGAAATTAATTATTCAAGCTCTTTAATTTATAGTAAAAGATGAGATATTGTGGCTAGATAATTTTCAATTAGATAATTGGGAAATTCTCTTTTAATGCCAAGTGGCTACCACAAATGTAGTTTCTATGGGTTTTATGTTTTGCTTGACAGAATATTTCCGGAAATCAAAGCAAAGATACCTTTCAAAAGGAAAATTATGAAAATATAATAAAAAATATACTTTTAGGCAATTAATTTATATAATTTTTTTAATTCAAAATATGAGTATTTTCTGCATTTTAAACCCTTTAAACATTCTAAAATCCCTTAATTATATATAAAAATATATTATAAAATAGGAATGCACTGGGGGTTGTTAGTCAGTTTGGAAGCAATCTAGAAAAAGAACACATGGAAGTGGTATATCGTGTTCTTAAATACCTTAAGAAAACTCCTGGCAAGGGTCTTTTCTTCTCAAAAGGGAACCAGTATAATATAGAAATTTATACTGATGGGAACAAAAGAACACTTGACACAGGAAGTGATACAAGCATTGAAGTATACAAAGATGAAGATTGGGCAGGTGCCATTAGTGATTGACGCTCAACCACTGGATATTGGACTTTTGTCTGGGAAAATTTAGTAACTTGTAGTAGTAAGAAACAGTCAGTTGTGTCGAGAAGCTCAGCTGAATCTGAATATAGAGCTTCAGCTCTTGGAATTTGTGAAGGAATATGGGCTGTTTGATTACTAAAGGAACTGCATGTGGAGGCAACAACACCAATTAAGATGTGGTGTGATAGTATGGTTGCATTAAAGATTGCAAACAATCCTGTTCAACATGATCTTATGAAACATGTTGAGATTGATAAGCATTTCATCATAGAGAAGATTGAAGCTAAAGAAATTGATCTAGCCTATATTCCCTCAGGAAAATAGGTGGCCGATGTGATGACCAAGCCTCTTGTTAAGAGCAAGTTAAATGAACTCACTAGCAAGCTGGGAATGCTTAATATCTATTCTCCAGCTTGAGGGGGAGTGTTGGAAGTGGGTTGTCATCACTAGGCCAAATAAGAATTAACCCTAGTTTATTGTCACAACGGTCAAGATAGAATCACTATCCTAATTGGTTTTTATCCTCCGTAATTTTAGGGATCCTAGGATTATTATTTCTTGTTGTATTTACCTGATTATTATTGAGGGAGATCTACCCTGATTCTGTGCGATCTCTACTCCCCTATATGCACACTGTTTCATCATGAATAAACACACATTCAGCGCACCATACTTACATTTTGGAACTTTTGGCTTGTATTGCCTTCTGCCGTTTTGTCTTTATATGGGAGATCTCTAGAGGTTGCAAATAGAGATAGGATAATTGGGGAAAGTTTCTTCAGATGTTGTTATGGAGAGGCTATGAGCAACGATCGAGCTGAATAGGGGATTTGTTTTGACCTTTGGGCCTAAGGAAATGTGTTATAGGATTAGGGAATTCAATGTATACTGTTATTATCCTGGTAATTAATTACGCAATTTTTCTTGAAATTTGAAGTACTCCGGCCCTTTTTATTAAAAACACCTGACTAAATCATGTGGATGAAAAAGTTAGTTAAAATCAGTTAAAAACAATAAATATGTAAAAAATTGTAAGTTTTTCCCCCTCAAATACACCCTTATTTATTTATTTTTTTTTTTTTTTGGGGGGGGGGGGGGAAGGAGTATAAGGGAGAGAATAAGGAATAATTAAAATAAAGAGAATGGTGTTTCAGGAAATGAGATGATTAAGAAACTAATGGGGGAAAAATAGGAAGCTAACCAAGAAAATTTGAGACATCCTGCAAATGTTTCTTATAAATAGGGACCGGGTAGAGATAGTGGTTGTTTCTTATAAAAAGGGATGGAGGGAGTACCATTTTTGGATTATTTTGTTGTGGAAGAATTCTAGGATCTCCGAAGTAGTTTGTCTTTAAATTTTATTATGGGGTGGTGGTCTTCTCATGGCTTTTCTTTATTGCTTTGCATGGACTCATCCTCTAACTTTGCCTTTTTCTGTTCACAATACTTCTTTCGGTCCTTATCATGAGGCTTTCCAGCACGTTTCATGATTTAACATGTTTGATCTAAAGGATTAATTCTTTTCACCTGTTATCTTTAACTGATTATAAAATTTCCCTTCTGGTTAACCAGACTTCTCTAACTGATTACTTTTGTTGATGGTAATTTTGATATTTCATAAGAAATGCCCAATTTTAACTAACTTCTTTTATTCCTGTAAAGTTGTTATGAGGTGCTTATAATGAGGACTGGAGGGAGTATAACTTTTTGTTATCCAAAAAAAAAAAAAAAATCTGATATAAAAGAAGGATAATCTTTCGTTATGTAAATGGATAGTTATAAGAGTATTTAATAACCATGCGTAAAGCTAAGGTCATTTTACAAGAAAAAGGGAAAAGGAGTTAGTTAATAAACCAGAATGGGAAATAGAGTGAGGGACTAGCCGTTATAGTCACTTGTGCCTATAAAGAGATGAAAACCCCTATCTTGTAACAAAGATTATGATGTAAATAAAATGATTGCGGTATCCAGTTCTAGCCCATTTTGATTCTTCTCTGTCTCTCTTCTTTGTTCCTCTCACTTTACCCTCTCCACCTCTCTTTCTCTCTCCTATCAGAATTACAATTGCATGACATCTTTCCATTTTCTTTTGTGCTAGCAGATGCTGGCGGGTCAAGTGGCCAAGGAAATCTGGGTCGGTTAATTTCAAAGATGCAAATGAGGTCAGTTGTCAGCATGTTTCATAGGTCTTCACCACATGCACTCATCAATTAAAAGATATGTAAATGGATGCTTCTTCAAGTTTTCTGCAGACAAATCTAGTGCTGAAAATGCAAAAAAGCACATATATTCATATCCTGTCAGATTTTGGATGTTTTCCTTATGAAAGCAGCATATTTTTGTAGGATCTCTTTTGGTTTGGTTTAATGTTGTTTCTGTTTTTATTTTTCCTTTATTTTCATTCAGTTTTGTATTTTCAGATTAAACTTGAATCAGATTTTTGTATCTTTGATAGATTTTTCCATTAATATAAACATGGCAAAAGTATGGTTTCATTTATTTTATCCATGCATACCATGTTTTTATCACTGGAAAACTATAAACTCGTCATTTTACTGAGAAACATACAACAAAGCTCCTTGGAGAATGCATGCTTTTATGCATCTATTCTAATTAAGCGGTTAATATTCGGAGAGCTTAAGGAGCGGAAATCAATATATGGGGACTGAGTGAATAATTAGATTTCTCAATGTGAGGCTATCCCTAAGCTTTAATGCTGAATTCTGTAAATGCTTATTGACTGCACACCATACATGTGTCTGAGCAGCTGTACGCACATGGCTCTACAACAACAGAATATATACCCTCCCTGCTGGGAACATGACAATGTGAACAATATGAATGACATAATATAAACTATATCAACTCCCCCTTGTGAAACTAGAGGTTGTGTAGCAGACTGCTAGTTTGTCCTTTAGATGCATGAGACCGTGTTTTAATGAATATATGGGCTGTCAGGCTAAGAAACATATTCAGTGAGTATTTTTGTCTAGCTCCCTGTTCCACACATCTTTTTTTTTTTTTTTTTTGGTTTTTGTGGGCAAAGCCCTGCTCTACACATAATGCACATCTAATTCAATGTGGTTAGTCCTTGCGTGCATTGGATTTGCAGCAAGAGCTGTAGCACTAAAAATGTTGCCCCATAGCACCATATCGTGGATGATTGATTCAAACACAGGCCAATTTTACCAAAATGAAGACCACAACCAGGGTAATTTTTCAGCCAAATGTGCGGAATTGTGATATTTTGATCCTGTGCTAGACTGAGCCACAATCTTTAGATTCTTGAATGACCAAGCCATTACTATGACATTCGAGAAATCTCTATATCCTCCAATTCTTTTCCTGTCATCAAGGCATGCAACCCCATCCTCATCAGAGAAGCCACATAAAATAAGATTCACACTAGGAGATTACTAAATAAATTCGTTCTGATGACTAATAAATGAGTGACAAGCTCTTCCATGGCAAATTTGAGGCAAAATTTCAGTCTAATGATAATACTAGGAGATTATTAAATAAATGCTAGGATACATTTTACTAAAAAGGATTGAATCCCTGACCTTGTGCCTATTTCCTTGGATCAGCTATTACCTAATTATTCAATTCAACTACTAATAATATCTATAATATCTAATGCTAATAAAGTTAGAGATGAAATTAAACCTTGAATTTCTGCATGATGTTCTGTTCTCCTGTGGCTATATGTATAGTAAATATACTGAATAATGCATAGAACAGAAATGGATTATTCTTTCACTATTTGTCTGTCTTGTCTTTTCATGATCTAACCAGAAGAAATTGTCAAGATCGAGATTTAACTACTTGTCGCATCCATTCTTCTCAATCCAAACATAGGACAAAACTGAAACTATGCTTTGCACGAGTTACTGCATTTCACAAAGCTTTGTTTACGCACTCATACACTCTGATCTACATATATTATCTGGATCTAGCTAACTTGTCACGAAGAGCCATTTGAAGTTGTTTGTCTGTAATTTGCTCAATGATCAATGTACCAACCTTATATTTAATGATTTATTCACAGGTTCTCATGTATTTAGGTGCTGATGCACTGAGGGAAACAATTGAGAATGCAGAATTATATCCAATACGTGGATTGTTTAACTTCAGGGACTTCTTTGATGAGATTGATGCATATTATCATCGAACCTTAGGTTACGAATTTGGTATCTCAACAGGGTGGAGTAATCTTGATGATTTATACAATGTAATGGGAATTTATTGCGTTTCTCTATCATTGTTATGGCTTTAATTTTTTAGATTGATAAATCTGACTTGCCAACTATTTATTGAATAAAATACACGACAAATAGTCTCTTACTAATTGTAGGTTGTCCCATATGGTGTGAATGAAATGATTACTGAGCTAAATTGTTTTAAATGTACATTCAGTTTGTTGGCAGAGAAGTGTGCATTTAGGTTTCCAGGTATTAAAAAAAGTAATTTAAACAAAAATCATGATATGGTAAGCAAAAGAAGCTTAAATTTAATTACAAAAAACAATGGAAACTCATGGGTTTCTAGCCATTTTTTAAGTTTGAAGAATTTACAATATGAACAGAAACTATGCTCAAATGTTTGTAATCCTCATAACGAAATTCTTCATGACTAACCCATTGCTTCCCTATATTTTGCATTTGCATATGACATTGCTTTTATGCCCTTGACATTTCCTTGGTTTGCCGCACAGCCTGCACTGCTCTTGTTTCTTGCCATCTGGTGTAATAAAAGAAACAAATATTTTATGATTTTCAATAGTCATGATGTTGTATAGTGTATAATTTATTGGGCAGTTAATCATAAGATACATCTTTAACAAGTACTTTGAAGACTCAACACAATCTTGGATGCATGTAAAAGGAATTAAGTCAAGTATTACAAATGTCAGATTGCTAAAATAGTGGTCGTGGTTCCAGATCTGAAATTGCATGAAGCACATTAGGCATCACTGTTTTATGCTTAGTTATTTGGTCTAATTTTAAGATATTTTTTTAATAAAGATAATGGTTATCAATTGAAAGTAGGTAAATAATGATAAAACCCTTTCTATTGAGTGGTGATGGATGCTTCTGTTTTGCTGTATTTCTGTATTATTTTTATCAGGTTGTGCCAGGGGAGTTAACTATCGTAACAGGGGTCCCCAATTCAGGGAAGAGTGAGTGGATTGATGCTCTTTTGTGTAATCTCAATCAAATTGCTGGTTGGAAATTTGCACTTTGCTCTATGGAGAACAGGGTGAGCTAGTTCATGCTTGACTTTCGCATTGCTTTGAAGCATAAACACTTCCATGAAGTTGTGTTAGTATCTCTGGCACATCTCAGACACTAGCATTATACACAATTTGACACTACAGTATATGGGTACTTCTGATTCTGATTAAGTTGGGTCATCAGGCATTCCAGTGTTGATGCTTCCTGTTTAATCTTCTTGTAAGCACATTAAGAATTTTATGCAGAAACTTCCATCTAGAAGGAAAAATGTTTACTCTTTCAAGGTCTGTGTTGGATGTCAAGAAAGGATTCCTCTCAGTTTCTCTGAAATTGATAGCATCGATTTCAAAGATAGATAGACATAGAGTGATATCAACAGAGGAGATATTCATTTGACAAAAAATGAGAATAGGTGCAGTAGCATATATTCCCTTCTACCTAGACACGTTATTAGTCTTATCCTCTCTCCTCTAACTGTAAAGGCAATACTCACCTTTATCATAAAGCCCCCCATATACTACCTCCCTACCCGGCTTTTGGGGGGGGGGGGATCCTTGTTCCCAAGGATAGTATTAGCTTGATGGTGCTATGCGGGATGGTGTCCTCTTGCATTCGAGGCATACAAGTGGTGTTGGCTAGTGTTGAAGGAGCAAAAGTTAATGACAAGAGTCAAGGTGTAAGTTTGCCCTGAAAGTTTTCACTCAGGGGCTCTCGGTATCTAGAATTTTTTATTTTGGGGCAAATTTGCGTTGAAAGTTTAAAATCGTAGTAATATTGTCCCTTGCCGTTGGAAATATTATTGGTCAATGTCATTAACGGTCAGCATTAGTTTTTTGATGGTAAGGGACAATATTGCTATAATTTTAAATTTCTATAGCACTTTTGCTCTCAAATAAAACTTTCAAATGCCCAAAGCATTTGAGTGAAAACTTTCAGGGCGAACTTGCACTTTAACCCTAATGACAAAGCAATGTGCATCTGCACACTTGCTTTTGATGGAAAGATTAAGTGCCACCTCCACCGGTATATCATTCTCAAAGTAGTTCATCAAATTTCTTCTTATATTCAGCGATGCACCCCCCTTGTTGAAGCTTTTTGATAGTAACTGTGGGATTCTGTTCCACATCTAGGAACTCAGCCTCCATTTGCTTGAAATAGTCTTCCTAACTAATATCCTGAAATGATTGATGCCTCGTAAGTGTCTGAGGTCATTGCAAAGCATGACCTTCCAGATGAATACTCAATTGGCATCAAAATTTGTGGTAGTGACACCTGTCCTTGAAAATCAGAACCATTCCCACACTATGCACAGCTTTGTTAAGTGTAAATGGAGTAAGATGAGGAGGTATGGGGATTCTGCAGTTCGTGGAAGGACCTAAATGAAGGAATGCGAGGAGAGTTATTAATGTTAGAAACCTTTTTTGCCAGAACCAGGTCACTTACCATAACTCAGTGAAGATAGCTTAATAGAAATATTGTGCGTAAATCTCTCAAGACGAGAAGTAGCTTGTTTTAGGTTAGTAATATCTTGAGTATCTTAATCTATGCAAGTGTTCATTGTTTCTAGCATACCACCTTGAAGCTCCAAATAGTGCCCTTATTTGCTGATGTGTTCATTCAATGGAGTGTCTGAAGCCATAGGCTGGAGAGAGGCTCTTATACCTTATGATATGAACAAAGGAAAATCGATATCTATTTGACAAAAAAGAAGGGCAGGTAAAATGGCATACATTCCCTTCTACCTAGGCACGTCATTAGTCTCATTCTCTCCTATAATTGTAAAGGCAATACTTACCTTTTTACTATAGTCTATTAACATAAAGACCGTTACTAGATATTATATATCATAGAGGATATGGGGTCGTTACATTGTGGCATCTCAATTCAGGTCGGAGTTTTCATTGCTTCCAGTAATATTTTTGGGTGATAAATGTGTGGTAATTTTGCTACTGCCTTGTGTATTTCACATGTACTCAAATGATTATTATGGAGTGTGAAAGATAGGTAGAAGATCATTTATGTATGCTCCCCTCATTTTTTTCTTGTACATGATACGGATAAGTACTTTGTTAGGTGGCTACAGGTATGTATGGTCTTCTCAATTGGGATGCCATGTTTGCAATCATTAGCTTCCACATAATTTGTTAAAAGTTGATGTCTTGTATGTAAGCCAGCTTTCTTGGTATACATCAAAATATTACTTCGATAAATCAATAACAATAGGAAAGTGCTATTTAGCCACGATATGGAAAACATGACAAGTTGCATACTGGCACAAGCAAATGCCATCAGACTTTTGTCAAACTAGACAAACTTATTCAATTTTTTCTTTCCTTGGAAGTAGTCAAACTAGGGTTCAAAGCAAATGATATCTAGGTGTTAATACTGTGCTGAGAAGACAGGGAGACTGTTAAGTTTGGGAGAAAGTAAGACTTGAAAATGTTGCACACATCAAAATTTTGCTCATAAACCTTCATCATATGGATATTATGATCACCTAACATTTCTACCATTTAATGTGGTCTCTTGGAATGAAAACTATTTGTGCAATTGAAATTCTGTCTTCAATACTCTTTCCTGAATAGTGTTGTTAGCATCTATCATGTAATCTGTAATATGGATTTAACTATAATACTTTCTGTCATTTATTGTATAGGTTGCACATCAACATTGATTAGGTTTTAATTAGCTTTTATTAGACTTTATTAGCCTTACTCTCTTGTCTATTTCAAGGTGTATATATTGAGATGTAATGTATCATTCAGAAATGAGAAAAGAATTATTTTTCTATTCTTTTCACATCGTATTAGAGCATTAGGCTCAAAATCCAGACACTTAGGGTTTATGGGTTACGGATCATAGAGCTCTTGTCTAGTACCTTAGGCCATTTGTGTGCACGGTGGTGGAGACATTATGGAGTCTCACTGCCAAGGATTACTGGGAACAGTAGCCCATGTGGACCCTACGTGCCACCACATCTGCAGTACCAGTAAGCTTGTAGCAGCGCATGGAGGTGCATGGATGGGCAAGACCGTCGGCGATCACTTCTATCGATGGTGGCGAGCAATTTTTGACCAAGCCCAGCCATTTGTCACGATTGGCAACACTCCCGTGATGCGTTATGGTTATATGTTGTATGATGCATACGTGCTGCATGTTGTACTATGACTTTTTTGGTGCTATGGATTTTTCTTCATGTCTTTTGTCTGTCACCACTTCTGATTAATGCTATAGGAGTGACATTATAGATACTACCAAGCAACTTGTCTAATAAGGTTAGGCCAGGCCTTAACATTGTTAAATGGCAAAGAGGGGAACCTTTCTCTAGGCATTAAAGATGTCATGTGACACAATGGATGGAATGTTGATTCGGGAGCATCCGATCACATGACTTGGTGTCATAAGCTGTTTACTACCTACACTCTATGCACAGGGAACATCAAAATAAAGATTGTAGATGGTTCCTTAGTGTCGGATGCTAGCAAAAGGAGTATTCGTACTTCATAGTTTTGGAATGTCTTACATGTTCTTAAACTTGATTGCATTCTCATTTTGGTTATTGTTCTGCTAAATTCCTCGCATCTCATTGTTTTTTTTCAGGATCTATTCTCTACTGTGACAATTAGAAGTGCCAAAGAGTATGAGGGTTTGTACTATTTCAAGGTCAGCCAAGTGGGTAATTCACTGTCACTCATAGCAAGTCATTCCACATCCACTTCAAAAATTGATGATTTTATGTTATGGCACAAGAGGATAGGTCATCCTAACTTCCAGTACCTTCAACAGTTGTTCCCTAATCCGTGTCCTAACTATGATATCGGTACCACCTATTGTGAGGTTTGTGAACTTACAAAACATCACTAATCCTCCTATACTAAAGTGACGTATAGTCGTATATTCCTACCAATCCTTTCATAACCATACACAATGACTTGTGGGGACCATCTCGAGTTGCCAACTGCACCCATAAGAAGTGGTTCATTACCTTCATCAATGATCATACCCGTGTTTGTGTTTGTTGGGTGTACCTGTGAAAAGACAGATATGATATTTCATCTGTGTTTCCAGAGTTATATTCCATGATTAGAAACCAATTCATTTCCAGTATCCAAGTCCTCCATACTGACAATAGCACTGAATACTTTAACCATTCTATGAGCACATGTCTTTAAGACCATGGCATCATCCACTAAAGTGCATGTGCTCATACACCCCAATAAAATGAGATTAGCTGAAAGAAAGAATAGATGTATTCTAGAGGTTGCCCAGGCCTTCATGTTCATTTGTAATGTTCCAAAATATTATTGGCGAGATGCTGTCCTTATTGCCACACACCTTATAGGAAGAGTGCCAAGCGGTTTACTGTCCTTTGAGACACCTCTCTAGAAACTCCAAAGTATCTATCCTACCTCCCACATTGAGACCAACACTTTCCTTTTCGCGTTTTTGGCTGCACAATATTTGTTCACCTGCATCAAGACTGCAAACTTGAGCCTTGTGCTTTCAAATGTATCTCTCTAGGTTACTCATTAGCTCCAAAGGGCTACAAGTTTTTTGACCCTGCCTCTAAATGAATATTCGTGAGCCTTGATGTTTGTTTTCTTGGGGATACACTGTTTTACCCTAAGTCATCATTTCAGGGGGAGAATATGGGTGAACTTCAGTCTTAGGAAAGTATAGAGCCTGACAACAACCTTGCTTCGGATACACCAACAATTGAACCACTTGAACTCACTCTTGTCACTCTCGATCCTCTATCACCATTGTTTGACCCATCATCAGGACCCGGGTCCTTGTCTCTTTCTCCTGCCCCCTCTCTTATGCCAGAAATTGAAGAACTTCAGTTTTGGGGAAGTATAGAGCCTAGCAAAAACCCTACTTCAAATACACCACCAATTGATCCATAAGTTGAACCAATTGAACTCACTCCTGTTACTCTCGCTCTTTATCACCGTGTTTGACCTATCGCCAGGACCCGATTCCTCCTCTCTTCCTCTTGTCCCTTTTCTTGTGCCAAAAATAGAGGAAAATTTAAAAATAAGGGTAGATGTAGGAGGACCACAATAGGGAGAGTGATCAACCTACTCATGAAGGAAGAAATCAGAAAATAGTAAGCAACTTATGCTCGAGGCACCAAGAGAGTTAGAACTAGGGGTGGCTCCTAAAGTTTGAGTGACAGAAGAATCAAACTCTATTGCACCCAATGCGGAGTCTTCAAAGGAACATGATATTTCAGTAAGGGAATCCACTGATCTTGATCTTCCTATTTCTCTGAGGAAGCAACCTCGTTCTTGTACTCACCATCATATAGAAAGATTTGTATCTTACAAGGCTCTTGCTCCAAGATTTCATGCTTTCGCTACTAATCTTGACAAGATATAAATTCCTAGCAACATCAATGAAGCCGTTGAAGCACCAGAATGAAGGAAGGCTGCTATGAAAGAAATAAGAGCTTTTGAGAGAAATAATATCTGGGAGGTTGTTGATTTACCATGAGGAAAGAAGCCTGTGGGATGCAAATGAGTCTTTATACCAAAGTATAAGGTTGACGGCTTCTTGGACAAATACAAGGCTTGACAGTGGCCAAAGGGTTTACTCAAACCTATGGCATAGATTATATTGAAACATTTGTGCCCATTGCAAAACTCAATGCAGTCAGAGTCCTACTATCATTAGTTGCAAACCTTGACGGATCACTTCACCAACTAGATATCAAAAATGTGTTCTTCAACTGTGACTTAAAAGAAGTCTGTATGACCCTACCTCGTGGTTTTGAATACAAGGGAAAAAGTAGCACAGTTTACAAGTTAAAGAGATCTCTTTATGGGTTGAAGTAGTCTCCCAGAGCTTGGTTCGACAGATTCTCAAAAGTGCTAAGAAAAGAGCACTATTTGCATGGGCAATCTAATCACACTCTTTGTTAAACACAATAAAGGAAGAAGGGCCATGCTGCTTGTCTATGTGGATGATATGGTCTTAATCAAAGATGATAGTGAGGAAATAGAAAGATTGAAGAAAGTCTTAGCCTCCAAATTTGAAGTGAAAGATTTGGGGCAAATGTGTTATTTCCTCGGCATGGAAGTTGCTAGGTCAAGAAAGGGAATATGCATCTCACAGAGAAAATATATCCTGGATCTCTTGACAGAGACCAGATTGCTCGGTTGCAAGCTAGTTGATGCTCCCATTATCATATAGAATAAGAAGGGAGAAGATAGCAACAATGATGATGAAGAAGGGGAGGAGAAGGAGGAGGAAGAAGAGGGAACCCTTCTTGATAAGGAGAGATATTAGAGTCTAGTGGGAAAATTAATATTCTTGTCACATACAAGGCCAGACATTGCCTTTGCAGTAAGCTTTGTGAGCCAGCACATGCATTCACCAAATGAGACCTGCCTACGAGTTGTTTATAGAATTTTGAATAACTTAAAAGGTACACCAAGAAAGGGCCTATTTTTCAAAAGAGGCGAACAACCTAATGTAGGAATATATACTTATGCCACTTATGGGGATGTTTTTGAGGGTAGAAGATCCACATCCTTGTATTGCATCTTTGTATGAGGCAACCTAGTAACTTGGAGGAGTAAAAAACAGAATGTGGTGTCCAAGAGTGTAGCAGAAGCCGAGTTTAGAGCCATAGCACATGGAATTTGTGAGGGGCTGTGGATGCAGAAACTCCTTAATGATCTACAAGTTGAGGCGGAGTTGCCTACCAAGCTCTATTTTGATAGCAAGGCGGCCATGAGAATGTCACACAATCCCGTCCAGCATGATAGAACAAAACATGTTGAGATAGATAGGCACTTCATCAAAGAGAAGATTGAAAATGGAATTGCGCGCCTGATCTATGTTCTGTCAAAGAATCAAGTTGCTAATGTCCTTACCAAAGGACTACCAAGTCGACGAATGTATATGCGAGTTGGACATGATTAATATCTATGATCCAAACTCGAGGAGGATTGTTGGAATATTCTGTCATTTACTGTATAGATTGCATATCGGCATTGATTAGGTTTTAATTAGTTTTTATTAGACTTTATTAGCCTTTACTCTCGTCTCTTTCAAGGTGCATATATTGAGATGTAATGTATTGTTCAGAAATGAGAAAAGAATTATTTTTCCACTTCTTTCCATGCTTTCCTAACCATTACCTCTCACATTTTCTGTGGCCATTTGTTGACGTTCAAATTTTTAATTGACTGATCTACAGGTTAGGGAGCATGCACGGAAACTTTTAGAAAAGCACTTAAAGAAACCTTTCTTTGATGCACGGTGAGCTGTGTGTTGTTATTTGTGCTTTTGCTTATATCTTGGGTTGTCTTTATCAAGGTTGGGTTTATTATTGTTCATGTAATGTGGGCCATTGAGCCACCATCATTGCTTATGATGAGTGATGCTTTCACTAGGGTGATACTTGATAGTAAACATCCACTTACGTACAGGGGAACTTCCCCTTTTGGCAAGTCAACAAGTTTCTAGTGTAGTTTCTGTCATGGGCATTCATCTCATCTTTAGTGGCTCTACTCCATTTGCACCTTTCCATAGCTTCTTTAATATTCATTTGAATTTGCTCACATGAAATATTAGCTTCGAAATCCAATAACCAAAAGACAACTTGTCATTTGAGATGTACTCACATTAAGAGTGTTTAATGCACGACCTCACCTCTTTCTTGTGAGTATAGGAAAATCTAATTCATCATGATTTCTGTTTAGACAGACTGCTCAAGAAGTGCAGTAGGCTCTATCCAAATCCAAGTCTAAACAGTGATAACTTTATCCTAAATAGGATAACTCAATTGTAATGAAAATAGAATATTTAAGCTAATCTCAAACATTGAGGAAAGTTACTAAAAATAACCAAAGAAAACAAATTGTCCTTAAATGAAGAAATCAGAATACCTGAAATAAAATCAAAATAATTTCCGACAATTTTAAACAACTTTTCAATCTAGTGGGATAAGGCTTGCTAAAGTATAATGGCATCGTGTAATCTTTGTAGTCGACCCCAGATAAGGCTTGTACAAAAATCTTCAATTTGCATTCACGAGTTAATTCCAACAATCTAAGCAGAATTTTGTTAGTATAATAAAATAGTTATGAACTGTTAATCAATTGTCCATGCATATACTTGGGAAGGTAAGCCGTAGCAACAATCTATTGGAAAAGTAACCTACAAGTGATTCAGATAATCAACTTTTAAAAAATAAAGCCTTGATAGCAAATAGAACCTAGAACTACTACAACCTTCAAAGAAGCTTTGAAAGTGATCTTGAGCCATCCAGAATTGAAGCAAAGGTATATTGAAAGAGAAGCCATGAACACTGGTTCATTTACACAAATTGCCAGTCCCCTATATTATATTAACTCTAGACTAGATATATTCACAAAGGATGATCTTTTTTTTTTTTTTTTTGGGGCAAAACAAAGGATAACCCTTCAAGAGGATCATAATTACTAAGGATATAGGATAACTAAACCTAAAAGGTTCGTTGATAATGATAAAATACCATACTGTGGAGTAATGATAAATGAATTGTCCAAACATTAATCTTTTAACATTCCCTCTTAAATTGCAAGAAACTTTTATTATCCTACAATGACTGGTTGTTTTTTAAATACTCTTTTCCCCATAAAACTAAGGCCAATGTTTAATGTATATGATGTCAAGATTCTTTTAACTTGTCAAAGATGGGCCATTGCATCAATTTCTGGAAGTGGTACATAGAGTTCAAGTTGGCTCAAATGACTAATAACATGTTAAGAAAATAGGTCAAATCTAGATAGATGAGGAATGGAGTAATCGAAATATATTTTTGAAATACTCAATCGTGATGTCTGTTGTACTGATCCGTAAGCTTCTTTACTAATATCTAATGATGCACCTTCTCTGTTGGTGCAAGAGTATTACTTCCCTTGACTTGCAAGACTTTCCTTAATATGAAATACCTATAAGCAGCCTGCTACCCAAGCCAATGGCTTTGCTATGAAGCTTTCTTTGCAATCTCTATAGCCTATTATGGAAATGCTAAAAATTCTTCCACCTAATGCGTCGTCTGAGTATTTTGGAGTCCATCAATACATGTCCTTTTTAGTCACTATTGTATTTAAAATTTGATTTGGAAGGATACGAAGGATTAAACTTAGCTTCACATTTTTGCTAAAGTGATCAAATCAGCAATATTATCTGTTAATTCTCTTGCAACACCAACAATGTGTAGTATTATTCTCATGAATGTTTATAATCGCCTATCTTATGGTCTTTGTTGGGTGATAGTTATGGCGAATCTGTTGAACGTATGAGTATGGAGGAGTTTGAACATGGGAAGACCTGGTTAAGTGATACTTTTCAACTCATACGGTAAGTCTATTGGTGGCTTGGTTGCATTGCTCTTTCCCTCTAAAACTCCTACTCTCTCTCGTTTCAAGCTTAACTAGTTTTATAATTTGATATCTGGCTAATTGAGCCATTGTTATTTACTCAAGCATTAATAACAAGATAATTTGTTGTCTCTTTATCGCCTTCATCATTTCGTGAGACTCTGAAAAGATATGGATTATATTGTGATATATTTATTTTGAAACAAGATGAAGATATGGGTTATAACTGCTTTATCTAGCTGGTCTTGGTTGTTGGAGCATGTTGACAATGGGCCTATTCTTATTGGGCCTAACCCTTAGATAACCCTAATTTATCATTACTATTTATAGTCTCTTAATTAGGTTTATTTTTCTACCTTTTATTTAGGGATTTCAGATAGGATTATTTCCAGATTTAGTATGATTAGATTTGATGTATTATTTGAGAAAGATCCCATGCGATGCACACTCTGCACCTATATGTATCGGCTTCTATGGTGGAATAATATACAGTTTTAAGTGTCTAAAAAGCATTATGGTATCAGAGCTTTAGTGATGACCTTCAGAGACACAGTGCTTGGTTCGTCACGGGCCTTCACCGTCAGCAATGATTCTTCGCAGAATCTGTTGGCAAGTGTAGGAGGCTTACCAGCAACGACCGAAAAAGGAGGGAGCTCGCAGTCTGGGGTATTGCACACACCCAGGATGATCTCTGCCTCCGACGCCTTCTCGCAGACGATGATCACATTGTTTGAATGGAAAAAACTATCTTCAATGGTCCAGAAACATCCTAATGTTCATACGAGGACGCAACAAGGAGCATTATCTAACATGGGACCCAAAGCCACCAAAACCTGAGGACTCGAGGTATGCTACGTGGTGTGCAGAAGATAATATGGTCATGACCTGGTTGATCCACTCTATGAATACCGAGATCAGTGAGAACTATCTCCTGGCCAACTTTGCTCGGGAAATATGGGAGTTAGCCAAACGTACCTTTTCTGCCAAAGACAATACCGCAGCACTCCTCCAGGTGAAACGGATGCTACGGTCTCTTACGCAGGGGGAGAAAATGGTGACCCAATACTTCAGTGCGCTAATAAAGCTGTGGCAACAGCTTGACCTATATGAGATCTATCATTGGGTCTGCCAATCTGACGGGCTGAATTTCAGGAAAATAGTGGAGAAAGAACGGTGCTTTGATTTCCTTCTTGGCCTTAATGTCACATTTGAAGATGTCAGGGGCTGTATAATGGGCATGCAACCACTCCCTTCTCTTGAAGATGTCTTCAACATGGTCAGGTATGAGGAAAGCCGTAAGGAGCTTATTTATATTACCTTCGGTTCTAATGCTACTCCTTTCCTTCCTTCCTTTTCTCCCACACTAGCGAATGAAGGATCTGTTATGATTACCCGAGGTAACCAAGACGGAGATCCAAAAGGGAAGAAGTCAAACTTGAGATGTAATCATTGTAACAAGAATGGGCACACTAGAGATACTTGCTGGAAAATGCACAGGAAACCAGCACACTTGAAGCAACGAACCATAGGGGATGGTAAAGGACTGCTCACAACAAATTCAGATAGTGGGTCTCAAACTATGGATGAACTTACGGTGCTTAGACAGATTCTGGACAAATATTCTGGTGAGAAAAACAGTGAAAAACCTACTCCTTCTGTGACCTTAGCCCATTCAGGTACCATTCTTCTTGCTGCACTTGGCACTATAACTGGGTCCAAAAATATCTGGATTGTTGATTTAGGCGCTACAGACCATATTACTGGTTTTCAAGAATTATTTTTTGAGTTTAAACCTCATTCTGATCATACTAGAGTACAGGTCACCAATAATACATATGCTAAGGTTAGAACTGTCGTTATTTTAGACAATATAGTACCGAAGGATGTTCTTTATGTTCCAGAGATACCTTGTAACTTATTGTTTGTCAAATGTGCAACCTATCACTTAAATTGCCTCATTACTTTTAACAAGTTTTACTGTAATTTTCAGGACCTAACTTTGGGGAGGATGATTGGCAAAGCTAAGGAACATAATGGGCTATACTATCTTGAAGGAACCACTACAATCAAGAGATTTGTGGCTGCACCTATTTTTAAGTCTCCTAGTTTATCTTCTATGTCATAAGAAGATTTTATGCTATGGCACTTTAGACTTGGACATCTTAGTTTTGATTACATGAAGCATTTGTTTCCAAAATCTATGAATAAAATAAATTCTCAGTTTTATTGTGAAACCTATCAACTTGCCAAACAGACCCGAGCTCCTTACCCCTCGCATACTTACACACCTACACAACCCTTTACTCTCATCCATAGTGATGTTTGGGGTCCATCTCGGGTTGCTTCACATACTAAGGCCAGATGTTTGTGACTTTTATAGATGATCATACTCGCTTAACATGGCTTTTCTTGATGAAAGATAAATCTGAAGCGTTTTCCATTTTTAAAAATTTCTATACGTTTGTCATAAACCAATTCCAAACTTCAATAAAAATTTTTCGCAGTGATAATGGCAAGGAGTTTGTTAATTCTCAATTCATAACCTTTTTTGCTGAAAATGGAATCCACCATCAAACATCCTATGCACACACGCCCCAACAAACTGGGGTAGCCGAATGCAAAAACAGACACCTTCTGGAAGTAACTCGAGCTCTCTTGCTTGGACACAATGTACCAAACTCTTTTTGGGGGGATGCTGTTCTCACAGTAGCTTATCTGATTAATCGCATGCCATCCAGACCCTTAAAATTTCAGACCCCAATTCAAAAATTTTTGGAAACCTACCCGTACTCTTACCTTGTTCACTCACTTCCCACACGTGTTTTTGGGTGTACCGTATTTGTGTTCACTGATGCCAATGGGAAACTAGATAGTAGATCTATTAAGTGCATATTCTTAGGTTATTCCCCTACTCAAAAAGGGTACAAGTGTTATTCCCCTACCACAAAGCGAATATATATCACTATGAATGTCAAATTTTTTGAAAACCTACCTTTTATCCCAGATTGCCCATTCAGGGGGAGAGAGGTAGTGAATGGCCAATATGGACTGAATCTGAACAGCAAATTGTTAATGGGACCCAAACATCACTAGATGTCACCTTTCTTGAGCCTAGTGCTATAATCACCGAACTCAACCTAGATACTCCCTGCCTGCACCTGAAACACCTACTCCAGCCATTGAAACCGCCTCAGAAATTCCTGAAACCCAAATAGACACCTCTCCTAGGCCTACATCTTCCATTCCCAATCATACCGAATCACCCACGGAGCCAGACACTAGTGAGACACAGGAATGCCATATGGAACAGCCAGCCACCAGGGAGAATCCCGTTAATGTTCCAAGGCCAAGTCATGAATCCCCACCTGAGGTGAGTCCTGAAGATCTACAGTGGCCCATAGCTCTCAGAAAAGGAAGAAGGACCTGTACACGACACCCAATAAGCAGGTACGTTTGGCCTTTGTTGTGAATGTAGACAAGGCAGAAATCCCACAGACATTTCATGAGGCAATAACTGATCACAACTGGAAACTAGCAATAGAAGAAGAATTGAGGGCCTTGGTTAAAAATGGAACTTGGGACATTGTTGACTTACCCCGGGGAAAGTCTGTTGTTGGAAGTAAGTGGGTGTTCACTAAGAAATACAATCCAGGTGGGAGTACTAGTAAGTACAAAGCTTGATTGGTTGCAAAGGGGTTCACTCAAACATATGGTATAGATTACCAAGAGACATTTGCACCTGTGGCTAAATTCAACACAATAAATGTTTTACTCTCCCTTGCTGCAAACTTGGATTGGCCGTTGCATCAATTAGATATAAAAAATGTCTTTCTAAATGGTGACCTTCAAGAATAAGTATACATGGAAATTCCTCTTGGGCTTAGAAAAACAGGGAATGACAAGAAAGTGTGCAGGTTATGTAAATCACTGTATGGGCTCAAACAATCACCAAGAGCATGGTTTGGAAGATTTATGTGTTCAGTCACAGGATTCGGTTATAAACAATGCCAAACAGATCATACGTTGTTTGTTAAGCGCACTAATCACAAGATAACCGTGTTAATTGCCTATGTGGATGACATTGTTGTAACAGGCAATGATGATGAAGAGATTGCTGCATTAAAAAGAAAACTAGCGTCAGAATTTGAGGTCAAGGACCTTGGAAGCCTAAGGTACTTCTTAGGCTTGGAAGTCGCTAGATCAGAAAGGGGCATTAGTGTGTTTCAAAGGAAATACACACTAGATCTTCTCAAGGAAACTGGTATGATAGGTGCAAAACCAGCCGAAACCCCAATGGAACAAAATTGCAAACTAGAGGTAAAACCAGACGGAAAGGTTGTGAATAAAGAGAGGTACTAGAGGTTAGTTGGCAAATTGATATACCTATCCCACATGAGGCCAGACATATCATTTGCAGTTGGAGTTGTAAGCCAATTTGCAAGTCATCCTCAAAAGGAGCATATGGAAGCCGTTGAACGAATTCTTAGGTATCTCAAGAAAACTCTAGGCAAGGGTCTCTTCTTCTCTAAGGGAGATAAAAAAGGGGTTGAAATATATACAGATGCAAACAAAAGGGCACCTGACTCAGAAGAAGACAGAAACATAGAGGTCTATACTGATATAGATTAGGCAGGGGCAGTCAACGATAGACAATCTACCATTGGTTACTGCACATTTGTCTAGGGGAACCTGGTTACGTGGAGAAGTAAGAAACAACCAGTTGTGTCAAGGAATTCAGCGAAGTCCGAGTTTAGAGCTCTGGCTTTGGGAATCTGTGAGGGAATCTGGATTGTTCATTTGCTCCGGGAATTAGGCATTGAAATAACAGCACCTGTTCAGATGTGGTGTGACAATTTGGCAGCTCTAAAAATTGCTAATAACCCTATCCAACATGACCGAATGAAACATGTTGAAATTGACCGCCACTTTATCAAAGAAAAAGTTGAAGCAAAGGTAGTTGACCTGGCCTACATCTCTACAGGAAGACAAATAGCTGATATGATGACCAAACCCTTGGTTAAAGCCAAATTTGAAGAACTTACAAGTAAGCTGGGAATGATCAACATCTATTCGCCAGCTTGAGGGGGAGTGTTGACAATGGGCCTATTCTTATTGGGCCTAACCCTTAGATAACCCTAATTTATCATTACTGTTTATACTCTCTTAATTAAGTTTATTTTTCTGCCTTTTATTTAGGGATTTCGGATAGGATTATTTCCGGATTTAGTATGATTAGATTTGATGTATTATTTGAGAAAGATCCCATGCGATCTGATTGCACACTCTGCACCTATATGTATCGGCTTCTGTGGTGGAATATTATACAGTTTTAAGCGTCTAAAAAGCATCAGAGCTGAATCTTCTCTGCTTGTATTTCCCCCCTTTTCATTTCCCTATCTTACTAATGCTGTTGCTGAAAATACTGTAGTCTTGTCACTGAAGTCTATAAACTACTTAATCTGTAACATTGTAGCTTCCAAAGCCTTTAGAATGTCTGCATAAAAATCAATTATCAGTGTTTATGTCAAAGGCCTTCAACACGGGGCTCAATGCTTGAGCTTGTTGAGAAAGAATGGATATTTTTCTTGGTGGCTGTTGTTGGTTCTTGGCATTGATTTTTTAGCATGTTGGTTCGAAATTTTTTGGGCACTTTTAAATTACTAATTTTACTCATATTTGTTGTGTAAAAGGAAGGTGAAGGGGGGGAGAGAGAGCGAAGGGAAATGAAAATAGAGAGGAGAGTCTGAGAGAAGATGGGAACAGAGAGGGGAACTGAGTCACGAGAACTGAATGTACTTTTTAGTAATCTGTTAATGATAATTTATAATAGCATTAGGGACCTTATTCATGGCTTATGATCCCCACCTACCCTAACGGATAGTAACAGATTTATTTATTTATTTTCCTTAACAATACTTGCTCTCAAAAGAGACTCTTGCCCTCAAGGGTCAAGTAAGATCAATAAGAAAAAAGAAAACTGAAGAATCTGGAACTAAACAATGGAGGAACATTGGCTTTTAAATTCTGGCAGAAAAAACTTGTGTTGTCATATATTGTCTTTGTGGTTGCAAGGAGGTTGAGTTTGGGACTTCGTTCATTTTGGAGAAAGAAATAGAGGACTAGCAAGCTTTAATGAGACTTTAGTACTGTATTTTGTATCAGGTTATTCTGGGGACTGCATTTGTGACTTTTTGGGTCTTATTTAGCCGTTGATTTGTTTGTGAGGTGGGTAAGTCATATTTTATGAGTTGAGTTAGGTGAGTTGCTCGCCACTCAAATGGCAGGTCTGGCTACTGTTGTGTGTTTTGATGTTGTGTTCTGGATTTGTAATTCTCTGCTGTGTTCGTAGAGGAAGTATTTTGGATACATATACAAAGTGCAGTTCTCCATCAGTTTCTGATTTTGGTTGTATCACTAATATGTCAATGCTCGATTACAGTAGCATTAGGGACCTTATTTATAGCTTACGATCCCCATCTACCCTAAAGGATGGTAATGGATTTATTTATTTTCCATAACATTGGTTTTGATGCTGTGTTCCTTATTGGTCATACTAGGTGTGAAGATGATGCCCTTCCAAGTATAAATTGGGTTCTTGACCTTGCAAAAGTAGCCGTGCTAAGGCATGGGGTGCGTGGACTTGTAATTGATCCTTATAATGAGCTTGACCATCAGCGCCCTCCAAGCATGTAACGTTCTTAAAGATTTTGTTCTTGATTTGAATTTTTGTTCCTATTTTTCTTATATTCATGGTTGACCTCATCATGAACTTGCTACCTTTTTGGTAGCAAAATAAAGTAGCAATGCCAACTGACAGAACCTTGTTTAGTTGTTTATGATATATACTTACTTTAATCTCTCCCCTAGCACATGCAGAGTCGATCATTTTTCTTCTTCTTTTTGCATCCCATGCCTTATTCAAACATCAGCGGGACTGCTAATGATGTTTACTTATCTGTTTCAGGACTGAAACTGAGTATGTTAGTCAGATGCTTACCAAAATCAAACGGTTTGCCCAGCATCATGGATGCCATGTTTGGTTTGTAGCGCATCCTAGGCAGGTTGGTAACTAAAGGCTGTAATCACGGCCATTCACATTTTCCTTTCTCTGATAAATCTAATGGATTAACAGTTGCATGATCAAAATAACAGTTACAAAATTGGGTTGGGGGACCTCCTAATCTCTATGATATAAGTGGTAGTGCACACTTTATAAATAAGTGTGACAATGGAATTGTTATTCATCGAAATCGAGATCCTGAAGCTGGGCCTATGGATCAAGTACAGGTGAGTATTTGCAATATGACTATAGATGCTTTAAGTGACCATTTATTATTTGTATTAAATAAAATAAATATATATCTGAGCTTTTCAGGTTTGTGTTCGTAAGATAAGGAATAAGGTTGCCGGGACAATAGGCGATGCCACTTTGTTGTATGATAGGTATTTGGACTCCTAAATCTCTGTTTATTCCTTAAATTCTCATGGTTTAGTAAAATGTAATCAGTTAAGGCTTATGCCCGCAAGGATTATATTTATTATGTTTTTTCAGAGCATTGTTTTATCTTGAATTTTGATTGTGGGAAGCTCAATGCCGCCTTTGAATTTTGTCCCTGAGCAAGAATGGAGGACTACTTTCATGTGTAATATGCACACAGACATGTTTAGGATTGATTGCATCTGCAATTCAAATCCCTATGATCTATGCAAGATGGGGGAAAAATGAAAACGGATTAGATATAAACAACAGAGAGGCTAAACGTGCTGTTTCTTTTAAAGGAAAAAGAAAAATTCTATTTCATCTGGATAGGTGTATTTTAAGTAACTACTGTTGCTAACTAAACTCTTTTGGGCAGGGTAACTGGTGAGTTCACCTCTCTTGATGAAGGGAATACACATCCTCATGGTGGCCAAAAAAATAAGCATTCGCGCAAAAGATAACTGTGAGCCATATTTTATCGTGGGTTGTGCAAAAGATGACATCAAGCTAGCATATGAGGGTGAGTTCCTCTCTGGGATGGTTGAATCTGATTGGAAATGGTGGATACCGTCACAAGTTGTATCATATTTGACGGTATTATTCATTGATGCAGAGTCATGAAAATTTTGCACGCAATATTTTTCAAATCACAACTCTCGGAGATAAATCTGATCCTCTGTATATACACATTGTAATGACCCCATCATTCCAATTTTGATAAATTTTGGTGCTTGATCATGTCATTTTATATCTTAAAAAGTTCGGGCTGTAGAAATGACTTTTTACTGAACTAGGTTCACTCAAAATGGTTGATATATTCAAATGGAAAATTTCCCTGCCCATTCGGTGTCTGTTGCTGTGAAGAGAATGTTTACTAAATGTACAGGACAAAGTAGAAAAACCATGATCAATTGAACCCCTTGAAACATTAGGGATAGTGTGGAATTCCTTAAAAATAGACTCGAACCATCTCCTTGGCGATGCTGTTTTCTTTGTTGTCGGCACTGTGAATTGGGAGTCAATGAATTGTATTGATTATCCGTAAATCAAACAGGAGAAAGATGGTTATTCTAATGGCCATGATGAAATTATGAGCTTATTGTCTTTTTTGGGGTTGCGAATGTTGAATTTATGCTTAGGCGAGTCTATTTTCACCCCTAGCTGAGCTTGAAGTACCTTTGTTTTTTTCCCCTTTGACCTGAATAGAGTATATATCATGCTATGATTATTTGTCAATTAACAATTGCAAATTCTAGAAAATAAATTATCAATTCGAGAGTAAGGAGGCAGATTTGATGAATTTCATATTTTGATTCTGTATTGAATATGGTCCAGGGAATATATACAGCAAGTCAACGAAATATAAAAGAAAAGGCACTGAAACCTATAGGCCAGGTTACGACCGCAAAAAATCAATTCATAAAGAATCAAATAAAATCAATTAAATTAATTCTTTGTAGGTAATCTACGGATTTTTCACACTCTTTTAAATTGGATCATAGATATTGACCATGTTCAACTTGGCGCACAAAATCTTTGAATTTTTATTTGTGTAGGTCTTTTGTAAAGATATTTGCAGTTTGTCTCTACATAGGCACATGGATAAGGGTAACCGACACATCATCAATCTTTTCTCTGATGAAATGTTTGTCCACTTCAACGTGTTTGGTTTTATCATGTTTAACTGGATTATCAGAAAGATTTATGGTTGCCGTGTTGTTGGTGTATAATCTCATAAGGAACTCCATTGATTCTTTTTATCGAAATTATCTTGTATATTCCTTGTGCTATAGCTCAATACTCTGACTATAGTATGTTTCTTGCTTCTCTAGGTAACTAAGTTTTCCCAAACATAGGCACAATAGCCTGTCATGGACGTTCTATTGCATGAGACCATGTACAGTCAGCATCTATAGATGTTCCAGCACTCTCTTGATTGCATTTCTTATACAATATCTTTTTGCTTGGTGTGCTTTTTAGATATTTTAAGATTTTCTAGGTTGTCTTGAGGGGTCTCTCCTTTGGCGCATGTGAGTGTTGGCTGGCTACGCTGATTGCAAATGCAAGATCAGATCTTGTGTGGGAGAGGTAGATGAGTTTTCCCACTACTCTTTGGTACCTGTTGTTGAAAGATGAAGGCCTAAGCGTACTTAGGAGGGCCCAATTAGTTTTTTTTTTAATTATTTTATGCATCATTTAGATTAGAATGAATTAGATTAGATAGGATTTGTTTTGATCTTGATTTAAATTTTAATTTCAAGATATTAGGTTTTATTTCCAGGCTTTATCCTTTATTTTTACTCTATATATATCAATAAAGCTGAGTATCAACTACTTAGCCAATTTCTTTTTCACTCTCTCTCTCTATTTTCTTAATGGTATCATGAGCTTAGGTTTGATAATTTTTTTTGAGCCATTTATCTCGCAAAATATAGTGCTTTTTGCTTGCCTTTGGTTGCACAAAATATGTCTGTTTTTTTTTTCCCCTTTCAAGCCACACACGTGATCAATTCACTAAACTTGTGATATTTAGCAGTTGACGTAATTATTTAAAATGGCAAGAGACTTCAATCTACAAAAAAACGAGGTTAAATGGTTGAAAGGTTTTACTAATTTATAAAATTAGTTTCGCAACTAAAAGGTTAGTGAAATGGCTTTAATAAATTAAAAAGCCATTATACTAATAAAAGGGTATTTTAGTAAATGAATTTTATGCAAGGCTTAAAGGAAGTGTTATAACCTGAGAAAATTTATAGATATTCTCTAGAATAAAAGGAAAATTGTGGAGTAGATAGAAGAATTTTCTAAACTCCAGAAAGCTGTCAAGAAAGCCAGAAAAACATAGACCAAGCAAATTAGGAGGAAACTTAAGGATTAAGTTTTGATCTAATAGTTAGGATTTAATCTCTCTTTTCCTCCACTAAATTTGTGATACTTGGTACCTTCTAGAAGAATAATGTAAGGATGATGTAAAAGTGCACTTGAATTTTAAGATTGTCTATGCTCTTTCTGTTAGCCACAAAGGGTATTTTAGTCCATTCAAGTCAAAGTTTTGGCTATAAATAGCCACCAAGACCCCTCACATTTGGACCCAACAAGGAACCATAGGGGAGACTATGTTGCTCTTGCATTTAGAGAGAGAAAAAGTTATTTTTAGTGAGAGAAAGTCCACCTAAATTCAAGAAATCACCAAGGTAAGCTCCTAAGTGCTTTATTAATTATTGTGAGCTGTTTATATATGATTCTATGTAGTTTTGGATAGCCATTTTTCATGGGAAGATGCTGCCAAATTTTTGAAAATTGTAGAAGGGTTTGATCAACGGTTTAAAGCATAGATTACACACTTGAAAAGGATAGGTTTTGATTAATTGAGTGATTTTTGGAAAGAGAATCTAACCCCTACTCATGATAATTCAATTCGGCCAAGGAGAGAGAATGGGATTAGAGTTGGATTTGATTTAATTTGATGCTTTTAATATGTTTAAAGGATGAAATGGTGTAGGGAAACACCAAGAAAGGAAGCTTGGAAGCATTAAATTTGAAAATGGAAATTTGGTTTTCCAAGACACCCTATTCAGCCAAAATGAGATCTATAGGGAGGGATTGGATTTTCATAAATTTAAGTGGATATTTGAATTTCTTGGGTAAAATTATGTAGGATTAGCCTAAGAGAACAATTTTTGCAAAATTGGAACATTAATCTAAAATTAAGAGAAAAAGGGTTAAGTTTAAGAAGGTTAGTCTTGAACTTTATTTAATCTCTTGGTCCTAATAGATTGTATGATCAATGTACCTATGTTTTTGGTGATGTTGACCAAATGCCCACATGGTTGGAAAGTTAATGGAGTCAAAGGAAAAGTAAGAGGAAAGCTTGAAGTCGACGGTAGTGAACTTACTTATTGTCATTGCTTGATGTTGTATTGTGTGTTACTGTGTACATGTTATTTGAATGTTATTGTGACATGTTTTAGCTGCTGTAACTGCTATTCATGATGAGTAGATTATGTCTCTATGGCTATACATAAAGAAGTTAGCTAACTCAATATGTCACTAATTAACAAGAGAATAAACAAGTTGCTTGTAGTGCATTAGCATCCATCTAACATGACTAATATGATATTGTTTGCTACTGAGATTTTTCCAAATCTCACTCCCTCCCTAACTAACCATTTGGGTCAATCAATGATGGGCAGTAATGGCATGAAAAGCGAGAAGAAAGTGGAGAATTATTGATGTTAATAAATGAGATTAATGTTCAATGTATAATTCTCCTATGTTGTAAATTATGTTTATGAATGTCTTTATGCAATTTATGTGCATAGAATGCTTATGGCATGAATGGAAATGTATGAGAATGAATGGGAAAGAGTAGGCCTAAGTTTTACATACCAAAGAAATAAAAAGAATCAAAGTAAAGAGTGGTTAAAGGATAAAACGTTTAGCTTCAAGCTTCGGTTTGACTAATGAAATGAACGAGTTAAGTCATGAAATTTGGAAAACTTATAGTACACATCCCAAGCTTTGAAATGAGAGGTAGATTACCTCCATTAGATGTGTACAAATGAAGAAATGAATTTCCAAAGTTGAGGCACAGAATCTAAAAGTTTCAGATTTTACCAAATGAACAGTAATCTTTATTGATTAAACTATATGAATTGGGCAAAGATAAATCCAATTGGATATTTTTTCCTTAAAAAGAATTGAAAGAGCTTTCTCTGGAATTTTAGAACATCTCCAAACGATTTTTTTAGAATTAGTTATGATTTTTCAAAATTGGATGTAAAATCTGGAAAACATACAATGAACAGTAATTTCTGAAAAATAACATTCTAAATGAGATTTTTGAATTTAAGGCCATCCAAAGTGGTCAACAATGGGTCTAAATGGACTCTAAGGTATGATATAAGTAAGGTGTGATACTGTAATCCCCAGCTTAGACTTTTTGAACTGAAATTCCTTCATCTGATTCGGTTTCTGATCCTTCAGAAACCGCAGGGAGCTTAGACTTTGACTGAGTTTTCCTCTTGCTCAGCGAACCTTAGGTCTGACTCTCTCGGATTTTTAACATACCACTTCTAGGCATTTTCTCTTGTTAAACTTTTGGTCTATATTTGGATTTCGCACTAAACGGTGTAGTTTCCCCGGTGAGTTTTCTTTATTACTGGTACCCGATTGCTTTACTCGGGCCATTTTGAATTTTTTGAGGAGAGATTCGATGAATTTCTGAGACAGGATGGGTTTAGAGTAATCGAATGAGCTTGGGAGGTGTTTTTGTGAGATATTTGAAGGAACAGTTGAATTTTTTACTGTTGCTAGAAAACAAGGTAATAATTGTTCGAGTTAAGGTTCTAAAACTGATGAGGGAATTTCAAAAATTCCACTTAAATACTAACAATTATCAATCAAGTCATAAATAATGAAGGTGATCGATCAGGTCATCGAAAATTTCATGAGGCAAGAACCCCTTATATGTGAGAAAAGATTGAGTATTGACAGATAAATCACTAAGATGAGGCTAAAGTTGAGAATGTAAGGTAGAAAGACCCGACAAAAGGTAAACCAAGAAGGGTATAACACAATAGAGTACTAGGGTTTAAGCCTATCAGCACTAGTGCCTCGGATTCCCATAAGTACTTTTCAGTTAAGCATGCTTAGGCAAGAATAGTCCAATGATTGGTGACCCCTTGGGAAGTTAGGTAAAAGTGTGCAGAGGCTAGAAATGTGAGCCATTTTTGACAAGGAGGCACTAAATTCAGTAGGATAAAAGAGAAAGTTAAGGTAAGAAGAGTTTAAAAGCTAAAGCTGAGTATGAGAAGGGACATTCTCCTCAGTTAACCTCTTGAACATGGTCAAGAAGATGTTTGACCCTGAAATTTCGAGGACGAAATTTTTTTTTAAGAGGGGGAGAAATGTCACATCCCAAATTTTAGGCCTAAGAAAACATGGATTAGCCTAAGATAGGTAGGCGACGAAATCCCTATGAGCAGGAGTCTTAGAAATGTAAAAGGAAGGTTGAAGGGTTTCAGGGACTAAACTGTAAATAGAAAAAGTTCTAGGGACTAAAATGTAAAGAAAGTTAGAGACTCCAATGAAGTCTCA